ATTTTAGCACATGTGCTGCTTCATGCAGCAAGCACTTCAGCCCCTCCTGTACCACCTTTAAGTAAACATAAATGCAGAGATTTCCAAGCCTGAGGATTGTCCTAAAATGCAGAAGGTACTGAAAAAATGTTTGTTTCATTTATTTCAAGTATCTTTGTTTTTTAAAAATAAATGTAACACTCCTTTCAAAATTGTAACATTTGGGCAATCGTACAAATGGGCAAGATGTGATCCAGCAGCTCAGGAAGAGGAGGTTGTAGTCTTTACTTGATATGGGTGAACAGTATGAGGTAGCTACAGAAAAAAAAAAACTGATGTAACATGAGGCTATGTAGAAAGAAGTTCAGAATCAGAAGTGGAAGGCAGGCTGGCTCATTTGTACACTGTACCAGCACTCCTGGAAAAAGCTAATCAGAGCCAGGCACTATGAACTGAAACCCAGTCAGGGGAGCATAGTTTTGGGAGCTGGAATGAAGCAAGACAGAAGAGGAAACCATGAAGGCCTGAGAGGTGTCTCACCCTGGAGAGAAACAGGGTTGAGGTAATGTAGATGGCTGATGTCTGGCAGGTGGGACTGATGAGGTCAATGTGACCTCAAGGACAAAGCTAAGACCAAAGGTGGAGGAGAGGCAGACTTCTCCTCAATAGCACCAAAAGGTAACTAGATACCAGGGAAGGTAGTGAAGCTGTATAAGCATATGACAAAACTGTTGAGTTGGGGGTGGGGTACTTACCAGGCATCCTGTCCTCTTGAGACTTGTGATGCCTACAAATGGTTAAGCACCTTCTGGTGAATGCCCAGCCCTAAGTCCAGCTGAGCTGGAGGCATATTCAAGATTGTAGAGACTCATATGACCATAGAACATTAGAATAACTGGGTCAGGAAACTTAATTTCTTTAGTTAACCTCATAGACCAACTGTTGTACCTACAACTCTCGGTCATGACCTGAGAGAAAAGAGTCAAGGTCTCAATACACCTGCTGTCCCTTTCCAGGATGAGGTCTGGAAAGCTTGCCTCTAGAACCTGATGTTGCATGCCCTCTGCTGGTCATTTCTAACACTATCCTCTCACTCCCAAGGCAAGAAATAACCCCTCTGAATAGTTAGGGTACTGGTCAGTGTAGGTTTAGAACAACCAGGTGAGGGGCAACTGGGTGGCTCAGTCAGTTGAGCATCCAATGGTTGATTTCATCTCAGGTCATGATCCTAGGGTCGTGAAATCAAGCCCTGCATAGGGCTTTGCTCTGAGCACGGAACCTGCTTAAGATTCTCTCTCTCTCTCTCTCTCTCTCTCTGTCTCTCTGTCTCTCTCTCTCTCTCCTCCCCCCTTCCTTCTGCCCCTCTCCCCCACTTGCACGCTCTCCCTCTAAACATAAAAAAGAAAAACCAGGTGAGTACCAGTGAGTAGATCACTGGTCAGTGTTCAATCAGCATACAGGATCAGAACTGAATCTGCCGCTGAGTTCTAGTACCTGTATCAAAATAAGGGCTCATCCATGTCTAGAAGGGCTTAAGCTAAGGCTGAGTTTGAGGAAATGTCTGGTCCAGGACTAAGACCAAGGTCAGTGTCTCAGGCTGAAGTCAAAGTTGACAGTGTGGAACAGAAGTCTGGGTCCAAGTGTCAGCATGCAGTATGTATTCAGGTGAGATGCTAAGAGTCTGACCTCAGGTAGGAGTCAGTTGGCATCAAGGGGTCAATGTAGCATTCATATACAAGATGGAAGCATCAGGTAATAAGCACAGGAGAACTCAAACAAAAAATATTGCCAGGGGAAACATATAAGGGTTGGGGGACAGAATGAAGGAGTCACTAATTTCTAAGGACCTCTCAACCTTAAAGATGGTAATGGGCATGCTAGAGTCACGGTCTCTTCAGAAGGTAGATCCCAGTATTCCAGTTCCAACTTCCTGTGAAAGCCTCCTCACTAACAATAGAATTACCACATACAAATCATAGGTACAATCTGGGGACAGGAGAGGTCCAAGGACCAGTCCTGTCACTGCAGAGAGCTGGCAGCTGTGGGGGTAGTCTTGCTTTCCCCCGGATTCTCTGTTTCTACTGGCAACAGGGCCTGGCAGCCTCCCACACCCAGATCTTAGCAACCGTGGGAGCCCCTGGCAACGGCTGCCATGGCAACAAGACAGGGAACTAAGAATGGGCTAGGTGGGGGAGAACTTCCTCTGAAGTCTTCAGGATATGTGCAAGATAGGAGGCTCCCCTCCCATACACAGTCTGGGAGGGAACATGTGCTCCTGTCTAAACACCTCCTTAGTGGCACCCACCTCCACCCCAGCCCCCGGGGTTCCGGTTCCCTCAGGGTGAGAAAATGAGGGACACCTAGGGTTATGACGTCTCCATAAGGAGGGAGGGTGAATGCAAGTGTTCAGAACTGACACGATCACAGATTCATGCATACACTGGGCAGACATGATGTCAACATGTCAACATCCACGAAGCTGTTTGTCATGTCGACACAGACCTACACAGTCATTTAGTCACACATGTATACTAACACAAAATCACATACACAGCAAATAATACAGAATCAGGCACACTACCACACAAAAATATTGCACAGATATATTCTCACTTACAAATCACATTACAGATACAACAATAACTCCCAATCAGACTCAAACATCAAACAGATGCACTCACACATCCAGACATCTGTGAATATAGAGAGTAACAGTTAACTTTGCTGAGCATTAACTACATACCAAGCGCAGAACTAGATGCATATGTTACCTTAATTAACCTTCACAACAACTCAGTGAGGTACTATACCCATTTTCTACACCCATTATACAAAGAAGGAAATGAGGCACAGATGTGGCAAGTCAAGTCACAAGGTCAACATAGCCTACATTCTTACACTTATGGCACACTGTACACCCGGCTTTCTAACACACACCTGATACTTAGGGCAACAGGACACAGGGTGGCCATAGAGAACCCAGCAAACAATGGGGTCCATGTCATCAGCACCTGAAGGCATAGGTGCTACAACCCCCCCCACCCCGCCCCAAGGTCTAAGCCCACAACATAGCGTCAGCAGGGACCAGGTAAGGCCCAGTGACTAAACTCTGCCTCCGTGTTGGCACAGGCAAGGCTGGAGGAGGCAAAATAGAACTGGAATAAGAAGTAGAGCCACCCACAGCCCAGGCCCCCATGAGTCTGGAGGTGGGGGAGTAAGAGCCCCCAGATCTAAGGAGCCAGCACCAGTCCTGGGCCCCCTCACTGTACCATGCCCACCTCCTTGTCACACTGTTCCATTCCCTCATCATCCCATCTCCCCTCCCTTCTAGTCTTTGTTCCCCACTACTCCTTCCCTTCTCATCCCCCTTCCTTACCTCCCACCCTATCTCTCTTCCCCTCCTCTTCCCATCCCCCTCACCCCATCTTCCCTCCCTTCTCTCATTCCCCTCATGTCACCTCTTCTCCATCCTCCTCTTACCCCACTTCCTTTCTTTACTTCACAGCTCACACCCCTTTACACCTGGGACCGCCATGGTGAGTACTAGAAGGAAGGCAGATAATGGAGACTATGCAGACCTGACCTCAGGACCCCTTAGATCTCTCTCCTGCTCTGCTCTGGTACTGGTGTTCTCCTAGCCTCAGTTTCCAGCTCTATCCAGATTGTGTGAACTCATGGGTATCCGAAATGTTTCTGGGAAATGGCAAAGAAAGAGAGGTGAGAGCTTCTGCCCTGGCCCTTCTTTTGTCCTCAAACCCCCCAAGAACTCCTTTCCCCTCTTCACCCCCGGATTACCCCCTCCCCACCCCCGCTCCCTGTAGCACAGATGGGCCTGGGAGACAGTGACGTGGGCGCTAGGCACCGTGTCTGCTCAAGCGTCGGCTTCCGCTGGCTACCGCCTCCGCAGCCCTGCCTGCTCTGAACAGCGGGGACACTAGGGCTGAGATTTAATGGGGGGAAGGAGGGGGTTGGTATTGAGGTGGGAGATTCTGAGTGTGTTAAGGAAATCATGTGGAGCTGAGATGAAGGGTTAAGGGGGGAGCCAGGATTGGGGAGATCATGGGAGTCGTAACAGATTAAGGCTACGATAAAACAGAAGATCATGGGGGGGAAACAGGAGATATACCCAGCCAAGAAGAGGGGAAAGAAAGGGTGGGCTACAATTTGGGAACTCAAGAGGGAAGTGAGATGAAAGATTATAGAGAGAATGTTACTGAGGATTGTGGGGGTTGCTGGGGAGGGGCTGCTCATAAAGTAGGTGGTATTAGGGGATTATACAGAGGATGAAAAGGGGACTCACAACGGGAATCGGGAATCGTGGAGGCGCTAAAATTGGGAAGAACTACCAGGTTACCAAGGAGAGAGGGGAAGCATGCTTAAATTCTGCATGCCTACTGGGGTCTGTTTTGTTAGGTCACCTCAGGTCAGTGCCGGGTCAAGGTAAGGTAAAGCTAAATCAGGTCTGGTCGAGGTCAGTTTACAGTTCTTATGGAAGACAGGTAAGAAGGGGTGACCTTTTGACCCTGGTGGAGGGACTACACCTTCCAAAGTACACTATTCGCTCCCCGACCCTCCTAAATGAAGAAAAGAAAGAATGCCGAGAGTCACCGCCAACTGGTAAGCAGTTTTCCTTTAAGGCTGCCTTTGACATTACACAGGTTCCAGAAGGTTCTCCCGGGATTTGAGCGGTGGCCAGTACGTCCCACCTTCTCAAACCCGAGATTGGACTAATATAGTTGCCCCCAGTCTCGGGTCTGAGCCCCACAGACCAACCAATAAAATCAAAGGGCGCGTGGAGTTGCCGCCCTCTGTCCCTTTCACCAATGACACGACGAGCTAGCGAAGAGGTGTGGTTGACTGATCCCAGAGCGCACCAATCAGACCGACACCAATCACTGCCTGGAATGTGTGCGCGTGTGGCCGGGTGACAGGGGCGGAGAATGGGCGGCTATCACCAAGGCACTCGCTGAAGGCTGTCCAATTACAAGGGAAGCTGAGTTGAGTGATGGACAGACCGCGCAATGGGAGGCGCGGAGGCGGAGCCGTGGGGGCGGGTTCCCCGGCCCGCTGTCTGCGGCCGGCGGGCAGGCGACTCCTGTCCAGAGTGGAGGCGGCGGAGCCGGAGCCAGGGGAGGGGGCAGCGGCTGTCTGACGGACCGCGGTGGCGCCCGCAGCTCCTCACTGGTGAGGGCACCGAGCCAGGACTCCGGGGTCCCGGGAGCGGGGGCGTCGCGAAGCCAGTGGTCCTGGTGTCG